GTGGTATGATTCACATTTTTTATCATAAGATTTCCGGTTTATTTATTATTTTAATCTTTTGGTTTATTTTACATGTCATCTATTTTTTGCATTTTAAATTTTATAATCAACATATAAATACAGTTTTTATTTGTTGGCGTTTTTTTTCATTATGAGCATATATGAAACTCTTTTCTTGATTTTTTTTTTTAAATACACCTCGATTACTTTGAGCGCATACATTTTTACATGTATTTTTAATGTTTTTAATGTAATACATTCTTGATTAAATAAATCAAGAATATATTACATTCAAAATATTTTTAAAGTTAGTAAATATTTTGAGACTTTTTTACGATATGTTCTTGTTTTTATAGTTTTGGTCTATTTTGAACAGTATTTTTCGTAACTTGCATTTTTTTGGGAGGGTGTGGGGATGTCGTTTTTTTTTTTTTTGTAATTTACACAAATTGAAATAGGTATTGTTTAAAATAGAATTTTGTTTTTAGATATTTGTATTTTTAGACACGGAGGATATTTTGACACACACACGCATGCGCACACGGTGATTGGGCGTAATCAGTGCCCTGCCCTCGGGTGGCTGATTATTTTTTCTCTTCGTCTCTGCTGGATGCTGACATTTTTTTCTTTCTTTTTTTTCTCCTTGTTAGCCCAAACGAAAATGTGGGATGAAATGCTGCCAAAAGAGCAACTGCCGACTTTTAGTGCGCCAGGGTCACATCAAACAATATTGACCAATCTGCGACATTTCTGCTCTCATGGCGGTGAATGCCTTTTTTTTTTTTTTTTTTTCTTTTTTTTTGGGTTGTTTGGAACTCACTGACTGGCAGTTTTCGAGCATTTCGACCCCTCCGCAAAATGTCAGGTTGCGTGACGATAGAAGTGGCGGATCCGACCCGAAAAAGAAAGGAAAGAATCTCGTCTTGTGCCACCAAAACCAAGTCGAAGTTTTTTATGCCCTTGAGGAATGAGCGGGGAAGACCGAACATGGAGCGCTTTGCCGACCTTTGAGGAGGACGACGGCGTTTTGCACTCGAGCGCTTGTGCAAAAAAAAAAAAAACAACTTTGCGAAAAGTACTCTTCAGTCATATTTACTCGAGTAAAAGTGAAAAAGTACAGGCTTGGAAATGCAACTGATGAGTCAAAGTAAAACGTAATTTCATGGGACGGTTCCTCGTCACGTGATATACAACGTCATTTGAAGGCTACGAAAGTTAAAAGATGGATGGAGGGTGATGAGAGGGGGTGCGCCGACTGTGTTCGTGTTTTCAAGGGTGTGCGTGCCTGAAAACGGGGGAACATTTCCAGGGGGCGCGGCCACACCTGTCAGGATGTGCATTATTTTGAAAAAAAGTTTGGGAACTTTCATGGGCAGCAAGGGGGGGGGCGGGTGAGCGGGCGGTGA